GCGTACACATAAAATATATTTAATTTCTATCACATGTTGTATTCTTTTCTTTCCTAAATGTACATATTTACAGTAATATATAGACGAGATGAGTTTAATGTTAAAAAATTGTATATAGGTTTTACGAAATTGTACAAAATTAATACACATTGAAAATTGCTCTTCGATTTTTACGACAAGTAATAATATAATACTATATCTACCGATTACCGTTCATCTCGCCAGCAGTCGGATTCCACACTCGTACTACGTCTTGTATTATGACGTACACCTAAAATATATTTAACTACTATCACACATTGTTTTCTATTCTTTGCTAAATGTTGGAAACACATTAACAATATATATATATATATATATAGAAGACTACAAGACGAGTTTTATGATGTTGTATGTTGAAGCTAAATCGCAGTCATGTACGCCAATGCAGCAATATTGATAACCTATTATATTATATAGGTATTAATGAGCAGGATATATCCGTATTACATTACTACTATGGTACTATTATACATCACGCATTTTTTCGACACTTATAAGCTCATACAATATCAGTGTTATAACATCGTAATTATACTATGATAATTGATAGTGTCAACAAAATGTTATAACAAATCTAAATTCTAATTAGTATTCATAAAATTAACCGGAATTTACTGTTGATCAATATATACACTATTTGGCATTCACCCTCAAATATAATTATCAACTTATAAGACTTCCCAGAAGAGGTATATTATAATATATAATTTATTATACAACACGGAAATTCTGTAATAATTGCCAAACACTGATACAACAAGTCTTGTTCTGTTACATGATAATATTATAAATTATAATCAAAGTGGTAACGACAGTTATGACCTGGTGAAATGTTAATTCGGTAAAACCTTCAGACCAGTGGCGTCATTTTTGGGAAGGCAACCGGGGCATTTGCCCCAGTCTAGTATTTAGATCAACCTTAAGTTGGCACATTTACCACACGCCCCCCCCCCCCGTTTACCACTATGGCACTATGCTATGAAAAACTGAGTGAAAAAATGTTGAGTCCGGAAAGGAGTGAAAAATTGACCTAGTCTAATAAAAACTGAAATGACGCCACTGCTTCAGACCAGGGCTAGATGTGAGGTTTCTGGTTTACTTAAAGTGTAATATAAATTTAAATGACCTCTCCGTACCGAAACGTGTAGAAAACTAGAAACTAATTGGTATAAAACAAGTAACGATGATACTCAATAGTTACTTAATAACGAGTTATTATTGTTATTACTTATTAGTTATTAGTTATTGGTGTTCATGTTTTTTTCTTAAATCGCTGTTTCTCGATGTCATAGTATTGTCATATCATAATTAAATAACTATTGAAAACTATTAATATTGTATTGTATTATTGTAAGGTTTTATTTTCAAATTACAAAACTGTTAAGTTATACCAATATTATGTTGGGATCTAATAAATTTCGACTGACTGCCGAATAAAAATATAAATAATCAAACGAAAAAAAATTTAAAAGCCAGACAAATTGATATCGTTGCATAATTTATAGCTAAAAATGTAATTTGATAGTAGTGAATAAAATGAAAATATTAATAATATACCTAGGTGTTTATAATAGATCTTGTGAGAATTTTCATTTAACACATAAATAAATTAACTTAAGGGGACTGTAGGCACATCGTTATATAATCATTCACAGTTCTACTCAGAATCTAAAACTTAAAAATTGAAATTCTTCAGATCCATTTTTGTGAAGTATGTCTTTGTGTAGACTTAAAATGGAAGTCGATAATGCTTGGGGAAAGTCATCGGATAACTTACCAGTTTAAAAGTTGGAGAAACACTTTCACGAAAATTTCGAATCTCTTCAACCGGAATACTACTTCAAAGTACAGGGCAGAGTGAACTTGATCGGCGAACATGTAGACTATTGAGGTTATTCCGTGTTCCCGATGGCCATCGGTCAGTGTATCAGTTCTCTGAAGACGGCGTACTGTATAGGCAAAATTTATACCTTGACGTATTTGTTTATATGAGCCGATCAGTAGACTCTAGCCGGCAGAAATCAGAGCCAAATGTGAAAGATGCATCGGCATGGCCTGCGGAGACATGGACCAAGCGATATACCAAACAAGGTTACCGAACGTATACAATAAATATAATATTTTTACATACTTCGTGGGTTGAGATTAAAAAGGTTCTATGTCAAAATATCTCATTTTTCAGGAGAGAATTTGTAAGGTTTGTTGTCCAATATCTTTTTATCATATAGGGATAATTGTTTATAATTGATATCAAAAAATCAAGCATGTTTTCTATAACAATATAACATGCAAATATAGCATCTCACTATTTTAGTTAATTCTTTAAAAATAAAAAAGAACAAAAAAACAGTTTGGAGTAAAAAGGTTCTTTACAAAGGACTATTTTACTCGATAAATATTTTTTATTTAATAGATAGAACTTATTTACCCTATAGCACAATAGCACATTACACAATTTTGATCAGTTAGGCCCACATAACATAATATAATATGATATATTTTTATCTTTAACGTCAATCATTACCTAATATTTTATTAAATCACTTTTTATTTAAATTATTCTGTATAAATGTATAATACTGTGATGCAACATTAAATACATTTACTACCTAATAAATTCATAAAAATAAAATAAAATAGAATCAAAATAGTCAAAACAAAATCAAAATTCAAAGCAATATTTTTTAACTTATAAGATACTGAGCTACGTAATTTTAAGAATAATTTGTGTGTATTATTTTTAATTTAGAAGTTTCTTTATATCTGTGAAACAAATTAGTATAAAACGTATGTTCATCAACAGGCATACATTTGTATAAATACTCTATACCTTGAATTTTTTAATAAGTTATTTTTGGATTATTTTTAGTTGATACAGCTAAGTTTATATTTTTTAAAGATTGTTTAAAATGTGGAGTCCAGTTAAAACACAAGTTAATTTGAAGAAAATCATTTACAACATGTAATTTTGTATACTTAACTTTATATATAATTGTATGTATTGTCTATGGATGAGAAACATTTGTTTTGACCACGTAATTATTGTATCGACATATTGATATTATTGTGTTGTTGGTAAATGGTAGTGATAGGACTCTTTTACTCTTAAATCTTAATAATGTTTTTGTTATTCAATATAGAACCTTTTTATTCTCTATTTATTCCCTATTAAGTTATAGAGTAAAAAGGTTCTATCTAATACATTCAAAAATAACGAGTATGTTAATTTTAATGAAGAAATATAGAACCTTTTTGCTTTGTGTATCTAATTCATTATTAATTTTACTAATTTCTAGCTTAAAACTTATAAGGAATATTTTAAAAAGTGAATTTCGAAAAAAAAAACATAGAACCTTTTTACTCTCAGCCCACGATTTATAACGATATTTTAATAAAATATGATAAAAATAAAGAAATGTAATCAAAAAACGTTAGGTTTAATCGTTAGTTATATTGCAATTTGTATGTAATTTGTAGACAATAATTTATAATGCATAAGTGCATATTTAGACAATTAACTACAGTATAAATAATATAGATAATACAGAATTATAAATATATATTATTACACTTTTCATATTGACTATAGATAGGTAAATGGTAGCACACATATGATTTTTATTTTAGCATACGAAAAAATAAATTTTTATTTTGTCTATCTAAATGGTTGCAATTCGTTACATATTCTAGTAATATTATAATTAGAAGAAATATGGTATATACATTTTTTACAATTAATATATTTATTAAAAAAACAATTTTTGCACAACATTTATTGATAATATTAATATAATAAAATAATAAGCAATTATTGACGTATACCAATAAGGGCAATCAATTTCTGATTTGATAGATTATTCAATTATCATTTATTCTTAAGGCGATCATGAACATTTTTAACGATAATAATAAACAAAAAGTATTAATAAATAAAAAACTTGTATTATAAAGCACTAAAACAAGATACCGGCTATCGAGTCCGAAACCGAACTGTAATGAAAACCGAAACCGAATTTTTGTTTTTGTTATACCGGTATTAACTGATTTTTATATTAAATGATTAATGGTTCTTATGTTATTATACATTTAGGAATAACCAAACATAAGACCAACGTCGATATTCTGAGAAAATAAACTTTAAATTATAAAATTCTCTGCCAAATAGATTGAATTCCACTATCAACTTATAATATTATTATTATGTACATATTTAATTGACGCGGCTTGTGAACACCATCTGTTAAAATTTTAATAAAAAAACGAAGGTCGGAAGAGTTATCAGATTCGCATAAATAAATTAAAAATATTTTATGATACTGAACTATTAAACAATAAAAAAAAAACCAGCAATAAATACGTAATGAACCATAGTTTTTATTTATTTATTAATAATTATTTGATAATAGGTTTTTTATTGTTGATGGTAACAGATAAATAACGTATAATTTATTTACGGAGCTTATTTAAACTTGTTAATTACGAAAAACAAGGGAAATTATGTTCTCGTTGCACTGGGTTATAAGTTGGTGACTGTAATGTATGGTGTTAAATAGGAATTCAACTGAGCGGAGACGGTTTGTCAGCCTAAGATATTTTATACTAATTTAAATTATTAGTGGGTTAATTTTAAATATTATTATTTGTATATAATCATATTTGTAATATAAAGTAACATTTTCCGAATTTTTTTTGTATCATAGTTACGACCCCTATTAAAATATATAATTGCGCCCATTTGCAACAGAAAAAATAATCTCCTTCTACCTAATAATCTAAGTAACAGAAATGTCGTTTAAAAACCGTTCTCAACCAGTTCAATCATTATAATTAAATTATTTGAAATTTTTTTTGGCCAAAAGTGTTACTCAATGACGGTTTATACTATCTGTATTAGTTTTGGAGTTCGATCTCAAATCCTTCAACCAAAAAATATAATAAGTTAAATTTGTAGTAAAAAAGCCTTCAACAGGTATGTCGCCCACACCTATGTAAGTAAAAAGTAACATTTTCCGAATTTTTTTTGTATCAACGTAAGGACCACTATTTATATATAAAGTTGTGCCCATTTGTAACCGAAAAAATAATCTCCTTCTAAATAATAATCTAAGTAACAGAAATTTCGTTTAAAAACCGTTTTCAACCAGTTCAATCATTATAATTAAATTATTTGAAATTTTTTTTGCCAAAAGTGTTACTCAATGACAGTTTAAACTATCTGTATTAGTTTTGGAGTTCGATCTCAAATCCTTCAACCAAAAATATAATAAGTTAAATTTGTAGTAAAAAAGCCTTCAACAGGTATGTCGCCCACACCTATGTAAGTAAAAAGTAACATTTTCCGATTTTTTTTTGTATCAACGTAAGGACCACTATTTATATATAAAGTTGTGCCCATTT